GAAAAGGTCCAAATTGTCAACAGGTCCGCTGATTCAAGGTAAAGTATCAGGGGAGGTGGAGTTGGAGGCTTCCACGTGCGAGAGAGTAAATCCGTCCTGTATCTGCAATAAAAGGCACAAGAGACCACAAAACTCACAGCTTCTTTCTCACACTTTCTATCTCTTATTTTTTTCCTCTTAAAACAAACTGGTCTTTTTCGGTCCAGTCGGTACACTTATAAGGCCCGCAAATGTAGGTGTTGGCTATTGGGTAATGATACCTATTGCTGATTGGCAAGGTACACTCAGGCATGGCTCAAGATTTCCGTCGAAGCAGCAAGCATGGTGTTGCGCCCGAGACCGTTTATGTGGTGAATGCGTGACCACATAGTCCCCATTATCTTCGAAAGCTCCATTCCGGTGTTTTTCTGTTTCATGGACAGGAGTCTATTTGACAAATTCACGCTTGGTCAACATCGCACAACGATCGAGACGAAGTATAAAAATGCGCAAGCCGGATGTGCAACCTTTTGTTCAAATTTTAATAAAAAATTTAATGAAGGTAGTTTTCGAGGTTGCACGTCTAAAATATGACAAACTCGATAATAACTATTCATCCGCTTTTCAAGGCTCGGCTACTATAAGCCCTTCATTCAAATTGTCGTGGGGTTTGTATTAAGCGCACAAAATACAGCCGGGTGTCGTTACAATACCTTCCTGAATAACCGACACTTGATCGGGTTATCGGCGTCTCTTGGCTTTATCCGAAATGCCAGCCATGGCCTGCAAAAACCCAGCTCCAAGGCCAACCCGTCCCCACCAAAGGACGCTCTCCTTGTTGACCTTAGTCTAACCGATTTCTTTTAGCGTGGCCAATTCGATGTGTCAAGTGCCTGCTTATATTGACCCTGATGGGCCAATGGAGCTTGAGGCTAAGGAACACAGCGTTAACGTTCTTACGGTAGAAGGCATTTAAGAGTCACACCTGACCACACAGACTTCTTTCAGACAGCCAAATCTTATTGGGGTGGCGCCAGCCCTATGACCCAAGCGCAATCAATTCTCCTAAACCACAGGACCTGACTGTGCACAAGAGGCTCTATTCTGCCCTCCAAATCGGACTGTTTCGTCTGAGATTCCACTTCACAATTACTTTCACAGATACTGACGCTGGAACCAAATGCTCTCAACCGCCCCTGTGGAAAATCGTCCCAGATTCAGTTTATTTTTGTAATTAGGATTACTCCATTAGTTCCTCTTTGCACATAGGTCCTTCAGTAAAATAGCGACTAGTCTCCGTCTTATCCTGTTGAGCCTCGTTGACTATATACTTGCACTAGACGGGAACGTTAAAAGAAACCAAGCGGTACGCGCAACCCCATGACCAAGAAATAATCGAACAAACACAATGTCCCTGAGTTAAAAGAATTAAATGGCAAAGATAAGCATGTTAGAAAAGCGAACTAATATAATAATTATAATGGAAATGCGACGGTAAATTTCGTTTCATTACACACCCTTCCGACTGACTATGGTCACTTTCAGCGTTTTCTGTACAGTTCACCAGTTAAGCAGGTCAAATGACAGGAACAGCTTTACTGCCATAGCTAACCGGCTGACGTTTCCCGACGGTCCGCTGGATGCTGAAAGCGATGATAAACCAAATTGATTAGCAAACATTCTGGAATGTCTAAAAGGGGTAGCCGTATTTCAACCTACTTTCTATTATTTCCTCTCCCTGAGCACCAGCACTGCATAACTATTCTGTATGAATTTTTCGCATCAGACAGTTAAATCGTGCACGCAGTTTCAGGGGTTGCTTTAGTACTACAGCATATTCGCTAAGGGACATTAACTAAACCAACTTATCCGAGAACGATGACTTAACCTACGAAAATCCAGAAAGCCCGTCTCTTTGAAAATTCTAGCCGTTTTGACCATTTCGGTCGGCAGAATTCATGGTTCTAGTAAACTCTAAAGAACATTACCATAATTCTGTCAGTCTTTTGTAAATTACGTAAATACGCGGGCACATCTTGCCGTGTCATAGGAGCCGGTCACCTAATATTTGACATTTGCTACATGGCCGAATTTCCTAATTGCATCTTCCGGGTCACCCAGTAACTGGAAATTTCACCAAAAGGGAATTTCACGAAAATTATAATTACGAAGATTCGTAAATTTCATTGGAGCCTGTATGAAAATGTTTGACCAATCCAATGATAGCCAGCGAAAACACTCCGCAAATTGTTGTTCTTAGTTAACCTGCACGTTTTGGCTCTTATTGGAAATCCATCTCGCGGCTGCGCGGTATCGGGCCGCGAATAACGCGTAACCAGAAAACCAAAAAGGAAACCAACCCAGGTCATTTAAACAGCGCTGATGTAAATGTAAAAATTACAAAATAAGCAAATAAAAAATATTACATTTCCTTTACAAAGATATAATAACGCAGGAAACGCAGGCAGGGAACGAAAAGTTAAGCGCAACTGCAAACAGCAAGGCCTGAAGCCTTCGCAAGCCGCGACAATTGCACTACTGACTACTATTATTGAGACGCCTGAGGCCGCGAAGTCTAATTCGTGTCAGGCGATATACGCGTCACTCACAACCGCGCATGCATAGGCGAGTACGCAAACGCGAGCTAGTTAGGCAGCTAAGTGCGCGAATACACGACGCCTGCTCGTAAACGCAGCAGTTTGAGGAAAATGAAGTGCTCACCGGATCGAGGGACTTGATTGGCTAACTTTTCGATGGGCTGGAGCAGATCGAATTTTTTCTTCTTTCGCTGACTTGGCCTGATGGCCTAGTGTTCTATCCACTAAAGGGCCACTTAAACATTCATCCCTGATATGGGGGGAGCCCATACTGATAATTCTTTGTCCTTTTTGGCGCGTACCATTCGAGCATGATTGAGAATGGTTTCCTCAATTTTCTTCGATCCTTCACCAGTAGTTGCCTCGAAATATGATTTGGATTGAGCAAATTCTAGGCTCTAACGCTGCAGTATTTGATGGTAATCATGTATAAGTACTCTAGTCATTCTTATGCTGTGTCGCGCCAAAATCTCCCTTGTCAAGGTTGAATTCACAAGCGGCTTATAGGTGACACATTTTGGAGTCAATTTTTGGTCAAGGCAGCGATGAAGGAAGTGCAGCTGCGTCTGTGTTGACGCGGACCGCTGGGCGAATTTCTCCGAACGGCGCGCTGCATGGAACAGTGAGGGCTCAAAACTTGAGCTCAGGTTAGCATCATATGTAGCAGATATTTTTCGTCCTGCGCCGCCAAACGCCGGAAGTTGGGGTAAGCTGAGGTCATCTGCTTACTGCATAAAAGGTTGTGACGCAGATTAAGCGCATTCGTCCGCAGTTTGTCCTCAGTAACCATGGTGGTAAGGCATGCCGTGCAATCAAAATTCAGAGACCTAAACCGTTTGAAACTCAGCATCAGCTGCTTACGTTGAGTTTGTCGGGGAGCCGCAGCTACGAAAAACCCCAGAATGGCAACACATGGAGTATACATGGCGAAACTTCAATGTGCCAACCAGAGAATGGCCGGACGGGACTTTGTCACTCTTCGTCTACCGAAGCTGGTATAGGAGTCCTGCAAAGGAATAGGACTGTTATAATCGTTCAGGTCTCGCATTCTCGTACTGCTAACATTAGGTCCTCGTAACTGTCGTACACTTCATTATGGAAAATATCTCTAAAGAAGGCACATAGTCTGTGCGTCTGGTCCTTTGCTGTGGGGCATGGTCGTGGAAAAATAGCTAGTTAGCTAACTAAATAAATGTTTACCTAACAAACTTAATTACTTACTATCTAACTAACCGACTAACTGACTAACCCAGCGACTAACTAACTAACTATGCTAACCCACTAACTAATTATACTAACGAAATAAATAACCAAATAACTATCTAACTAACTAACTAACTAACTTACGAACTAGCAAAATAACCAGTTAACTATACTGACTAACTAACAATACTAACCAATCTACTTGCTAGTCAACTATACTCAAAAACTAACTAAATCGTTGGTTAGCTGCGTGAAAATTTCAAAGCGGGTACCCATATAATGACTTCTTACTTGACCAAGGTTTTCAATTGATTGAGTTTCTTAATGACACCTTCGGGGTCTCTCAGTGATTGGAAGTATCACTTAAAACTAATTTCACAAAATTTAAACTCAAGAATAGTCCTAGAAGCCGTCGCGGCTGGCATGAAAGTGTTCGACCAATCACTATTCAGCACTCTGAAACCCGTCCGCATATCTCGTTTATTAATCAATCGCATTTGTGTTACTTTCACTCGCGTTCGCGTCCCTCCATGTAATTAATTGACAAAGTCACAACGGCGAGTCCGAACTGACAAATGTATAAGTCTCCATCACATTTAGGACACTTCCGCTTATTTAGTTTGAATCCGTTCAGCGTTGTCATCGTTCCTCTAACGATTGTCTTATTCTCTTTCTACGGCCTGTCGTACCTCGGATTTACCGAAAAGTATCTCGCTGTCACCGTTGCTCGTATTCTTCCTCCATATTGTTGGGTCTGGACGCTTGTCACTTTCAGTTTTTACAATTCAAGTGTACTGGGTGTCCTTTCGGATGCGATAACCGTGTATCTTGCTTATATTATTGTGATTCCCTCATGGAAGCTGCTCGAGGTTTCCAAGTTCTGCATTATCATTCAGTTAATTTCGGCTCTCTTTTCTGTATTTATCCTTTTCATTGGCTATGCCATATCCTTTGATCTTGATCTTCTGTGGAATGTTCCCATTCATGGTTTATGTCCATTGTTGGGCGGTGTTCTTGTTGCAGCTCGTCAACTCACACCCGACACCGTCCTTGCTAAACTCCCGCTAGGGAAGTTTCGGACGAAACATGTCCCATTTACATTTCTATTAGTCGTGTCTCTGGGCGCTGCCTTTCACATTCTGTACTTCGTTCCTGTCATTGGAATATTCTCAGGAGTTGTCATTAGCTGGGTTTATCTCCGTTTCTACCAAAAGCACCCAAATGGCGATGTCGGTGACACCACAGATGCCTTCAGGTTCTCTGGGTAGTGATTCTATTTTTTATTTACGTCAGTTTTTTCCCCAATCATTTAGAGCCTCCGATTTCAATAGCATCGAACACCATTTATAATCTCCTGGTTCGTATACGTTTTTGCCGTCAGTCCCCACCAACCATGGTCTTTGCAGCTGAAAATGTATCGGTGAAAATCGTGGAATCTGACCCTTCCAATCGACGCAGGTGTGTGCATTCATCTTTTATTTCGCGGTCCACCGTCTCAACTAAATAGCCCTTACTCTCGCCGACTTTTCCGTGACTTAGAAAAATAGTCGATGGGCTAGTTGGATACGTATATTCCAAAGGTTGTTTCCTATTCCACAAATCGTTTGGCTACATTGTTTAGAACGCTACCTCTTTCGAGAGACAGGTGCACGCAGTGGTGTCATCTGTCGCGTCGAATTCATTCAGGTCCATTTTTCTGCCCAAACGCCAGGTTTGCAAAATTTTGTGACAAAAGCAGGTTGACCCTACAGTCATTTTAAATTGTGCCTCATTTACCCCCTATTTCACTACTTTCCCATTGGAATGGGTGAAAGTTTCCGAGATGTCATTTGTTAACACTTTTTAGATTATTCGAATATTTGTGAGTCACTCTTGTCTAAGTGAGGTGGTTTGACTGGTCTGGTTCATCAGGTCTGTTTGTAGGCCGGTCAAGCGGCGTGAATAATGTCTATTTCCAACAACTATATCACCTAGTGCAAACGATCGAATCAAGCATATTTGCAATCGGCGTTTTACCCAAGCCGGATAGTTCCCTACAGAATAAACCCATGTCTCTCAAGCGGTAATGATGTACATGGGAAAATGAACTTACCTCAGAAAGACAAAAAATTTCCGGTAAGTTAAAACTTTGCTTTAGCCGGCTGCCCCTGTCGTTGTCGCCTCCTCGCTTCCATGGTTTCTGTTTTGCATGCTATCCAGTGCACTTTTGCCCGAAGAATAAGAGGCGATGTGTAGTGTGCGGTGAGGGGCCTTCACTCTAACGAGAAGCCGTGACTTAACTTGTGTACAATCCTCAGATAAAGCCATTTTCACGGTTCTCGGTCTTGTGGCATCTAGTGAAACTTATGTAGTGTTTAGAGTAGGCTTTTCCGGTGATCGTAAAGGGTGGAGAGTACTTTCGAACAGGCCCTCAGTCAACCACGTTCAGTAACATACAGTTTAGTTGGTATCAAGACCATCCCTAGTTGGGTTTGAAGACGATTTTTCATCGCCCCCTCCAACTAGCGTCAGGACCTCCTTTACCGTCTTAGGCAGTCGATTTATCAATACTACTTCCATCAAGAGGAGCCGTTGACGACTTTACTGTCACCGTTATTTGTGGCTCTCCTAATGATTACTATGCGCTTAATGATCAACCAAAGATATAGAGTTGTGTGAAATCCTCTATCCCTATTTCGCATTGTTTTTTGTTTCGCCCAGGCAACTGGCACTGCAGGTTCTAAGGGAAAAGCTGCCCATGCCTCCGGTCCACCAGTCCTCGCTTCTGGACTTCCCGTCCCCCACTTTAAAAGAGGACTCCTGCCAACCTCCGCCCCAGATTCCAAGGGTTCTCGAACCGATTCCCGAACGACCGCCTTCCGATCGCGTCTCAGTGGAGCCTAGTGCCCAAAAACACTAACCCCGTACGCCCCCTCACTTACGATACCGGTAGCGCCCTTCGCCGATGCATATCCTCCGCACTGCCTCATTAATGTCGTAATTACATTCGACCCTCAGGCTGTTTGCAGTCGTCGGAGTCTTACCATTGCACAATTAAATGCTTTTTGTTGTAGACGCATGTCTGCACATTCCCTTGTTGTGTTCTCTTCTCGGATTACGATGATCGACGTGTACAACCTACTTTATCAGCAGACGGTGCGTACGACTGTTTGCCCGTTTGATTGGTAGTCAGGACTCAAAGCGAACCTGCGACCGGAAACCAATAACTGTTTGTTAGGACTGCGAATATGCACAATGCAGAATACTTTGTCCTATATCGAATATTCACGAAGATTAGGAAAGGCTGAAGCCGTATGGCAGGACCGGTCAGACGTACATAAGCCGTGCGGCGAGGCTGTGTGCATGCGCCATAACTGATAGTATTTTCAATTTCGCTTCCCACGCCTGAAATTTTGACGGTCTCTTCAGCTTCGAAGATGTCCTGCCTGGAGTCAATCCGTGCGTGGCGATTAGTGGCAGTAGACCCCCGAGCTCGGTCTGTCCTCAAAAGGTACAAGTCGGGTGAAGAACGTCCAATAATGGATGATGGTGATCTTTACGAGCTATAATTAATCCAAAGGATCCTCTCGTGCACGTGCTGGAAGATCAAGCTTTCGCCCTTACCTAGGGCTTGGGTCGTGGGTGTCGTCTGATCACGGATATCTGTTTCGCGCTTGCGCTAATTATTTAAACATCATGACCACGACTACCAAAAATCTTTTGGTCGGCATCGTTCTAAGCAAAGATGCATTTCTTAACCTGGCTCCTCATTAGCAACTTGGTCCACTGATGTTAGGAAGTGTTCAATCCGCGCTGCAAGCCCTTAATCACGGGTTGCCCTTTGCTGACCTAGGTGCACTTATAACTTAGCAGACCTAGCGACGTTACTCAGCCAAGGCGCGGCACTTCGTGTGTTCTCACTGCTTGGCACCAGTAGGGCGACATCGGCATGTTCGAAATCGCCCAGGCCTCAGCTGGGTAACTATCCTCGTCACTATCGCGTAGGCCCTCTTCAGATATGCAGTGTTTTGCTAGAGGCAATGGATGATTAGGTGCAGCCCCGCCGAAATGAGTCATTAGTAGGACTCAATCACAATAATGATTTGTACCGGCACATTCCCTTCATTATTTTCCTCCGATACTACCGACCGGAGGACTCAGTTCTGCGCATAAGCCGTCGAGGTTGATGTCAGCTGCTGCCTCGCTTTCCCATCCCAAGACCATGGACCGGCTTCATGAGCTGCCTTTGTCAGCTAGTCACCACCTTAATGCGTGCGGTCCTATTTGCACGCATTTTCGGGCTTATGCTTCACTCGATAAGACGACGGACGGATCGGTTGTTGGGAGTACCGTTTTTTTATAAGTCTTTGGGTTCTCGCTAAGGCCCATCTTCGGCTGTAAATGACAGATTAGCAGTTTGTTTTACCTGTTGTGCCACCATTGTCCATAAAGCCGCGATGATATCGTAAGGCGCTATGGGCGGTGGATAAATGGGTGCATCGGTTTATGCAACAGTTACACCAGTCCTCTGTCGACCCCTTCTCCATTGGTTCACGCGATTATCTTTGTACTCGTAAACTGCAGCGTTTCACTGGTATCAAAGGTGTAGCGGCGACTTATCGCAACCCCTCCGTACAGCCGACTTCTTCGATTATGACTGAGCTCAGACGTTTGAGCTCTATCTGTAGGGACCATCTAGACGGAGCGTTCGAAGATATCTGATCGCTAACCGCCTTCACTTGGTCCATTTGTCACACGACTCACACGGGTCAATTAGTGAAAAAACACCGAGTCCCGCGGCAATGCTGTCCGTTGTTCAGAAAACGTCTTTTATATGTCGTAGGAAATTTGGCCGATTTTGTAGGTTTTATTCGGGTTCTGTAGTCAGAGGCAGAGACACGGAGATCCAGACACGCGATAATATTTCTTCTTCATACTTTAAACCGCATTCGATTGTCTCTTCCAACCACTGCGATAGGTTTTTATTTTTTGGAGAGTATCCTAGCAGCGTTTTTATCTACCGTTGTCGCTGTATCAACAAAGGGCCCATGTCACGTCAGTTATCTAAACATGCGAGTTTTTAACTCAATACTCGTACCACGATAGTCATGAAAGTGCATTTGTCGTCCTTAAGTTTGTCCGAGACAGAAAGGAACAAATGACAGAGGTTACTTAGATTCGTAAGCAAACTGTCGGCCGCGATTTCTGACTGAAAGAAATCATGACGGTATAAACTGCCTGAAACCAAAAAAGACCGCCAAACGTTTAGTGAAATTGGTTAAGACGATGGCACATAGACTAAATACAAGTCTGCTGTAGCCTAGTAAGCTTTCCGGGTAAAGATAGAGAAACCTTACTTCTCAGTCCGACCTAAGAATTCTTCAAACCTTCCGACTGACATGACCGAAGCACCCATTCACTTGGCTCAGAGCACTTCCTACCACAGGATTAAACTACCTAACGGAACGTGAGCTAGCCCCTACGCCAACCGCAGCTTTTGATTTCCTGTTTACTACATGCCCTCGCACTTTCACATTTCTTGCACCAGTTGGTCAGTTACCCAGTTTTACCCGAGTCCGATATACGCCGTATGAGCTACTCTGTGCCAGTAAGTACGATCGACGCATACGCGAAGCTTGACAGAAATGTGGCGTCGGGAAGGTGAAGGAGTCTGCCAATGCCGTGTTTGTGCGACATTGCCGCTCGCGCACTTATAATTGGCGCAGACTCCCGCCAGAGTACACCGATTACGAACTTCGTTTATCCAACCGTGACTCGTTGACTTACAACGTGCTCTGGTGTGGTACGAAAGAATCGTGTTTGAAGTGATGCCGACAGCAGTGGCGGAAAATGGGCTTTCAAAACAAAAAGAATGCTCATCCACCATTCCTCTACCACATCATATTTAACGTACGGGTTTCGTGGGCACCAACGAAAATTACCCTTCCTTGACTATGAGGTTAGTCGGATTGGTCGCGTAAAAACTGCGATGTCAGTTCCAGTTAGTCAGATACACCCGCTTGGACGGACTGCGATTTTCGAGGCTGAGCTACTGCCAGTGTTGTCTTTACGTGCAAATTGATCGGGAGGTTCGAAGGTCCACGCATCAATATAAGCAGTGGATGTACTGTCATTGAGTGTTAGCCGAAATTCTGAAATATCTCCGCCTGAAAAAGTTACTTAAGGTGCGTCATAATCCGAAGTTATGGGAGTCGTGCCAGGATGCCGCCTTTTGGACGAGCTTCTTTCCAGTCGCCTGCAAAAACTATCCTGTGAAAAACGATTACCTAAGCAGTACGAATTTTTTATAATTAATTTTCGATGACCATACAAACTCAAATATATCTTGCAGAGCACGCGCATAACAATATTCTTCCTTTTACTCATTTGCCAGCCAATTACGTCTTCTTTAAACTTTATACTTCAAAAGAGAGTCTCTTAGGCTAAGAAAAGTTTCGAATTGCGAGATTCTTGAAGACCGCGAAATGTCCATTCATAAAACATCGCATCGTGTTCGTAAAGTGTGCAATATAGTTCAAGTCCGCCGCAAAATTTTATGAACTTCATGCAGTGTTTCGATAGCGTATAAAAATGTACAGATGACTCTCCCTACACGGAAAATATACACTTTCTGGTTCGGAAACCTGGACGCAAGTGTGACGGCAGGCCGGGTACAAGATTATCCGGGAATTAAAAAATTTTAAGACCGAATTGTACTCTTGATTTAAGTATGAAATTTAACGAAGACGTAATTTGCTACCAAGCAAGTAGGAGGACGAATATCCCTGTGCATGTTTACATAAATATATTCATAAGGACATCGAGAATCAATGAAAAGAATCCATATTATTTAATTAGTCACTGATATAGTGTGGCTTTTTCAGGTGACCGGAAAGAGGCTCCTTCAGAAGCCACATGACTGATATACCTTGGGAGTCTGCTGCGCGGTCATGAATGTTACAACCCTAATTAGGTTAGCTTTCCGAATGGAAAGCACAACTCAGGATTTAGGCTAACATTTCATGAGATGATCAGAAAGTTATCCCTCCGAGAGATTGGTGGCAATCACTGCCGGCCGGTGGGCTCATTGTGACACCCGCTTGTGAGTGTTGCCGCGATTCGACGCAGCTGGACGCCCAAGAGGTAGCCTGGGACATCTGTGTTGGCAGCACGTCCGCAGTAGTCTTAACTGTCCGTGCGACACTGCTTGACAGCCAGACGCCAGGAATTGGTGCATCGGGAGAACGCCCGCAAACGTACTCCCGATGATATTAAGTGTAAGCTAATCCGCCTGGCCTCGTACAACGTAACTGCAGAAAGAATGGCATCAGTCTCAATCAGGCGAACAGTTACCAGACCACATGACGGCCAGGTGAACCATTGCCGACAAAGACGGAGTGAATGTGAAGTGTGTGCACACGTTTGCATTTCCGGTGGCAGGTAGCTCAGGAGTATGGCTAGGTAAGGCGGGCATGAATCAGCCGAAGCAGTTGTCGTCGAAGTTACTCTGTGTCTTAGTCTACCTCTAATCTCATTAATCTTTTATTTTTGAGGACTATCCCCTGCAAAGGTCCCACCCCTGTTACTTGTTTAGGCAGTTATGGTTTCCCCTCGTTTTCGGACGCGGCAGAATTCGGTTTTCTTGATGAATTTCTAGAAACTGAGAAAACACATTTTCCGAGAGAGAACCTAAGATTTTCCAGGAATTTAAAGACT